CGATGTGGTGCTGCTCAGATCCCGTGGCACTGGGGATTACCTGGGTCACAGGGGTGGTGTTTGGGGGCCTCCCAGGCCACCCCTGATGGTGCTTGTGCAGTGCCAGCGATCCAGACGGGGGCCAATAGCATGCAAGGCTTAACCCCTGTTCCATCTGTCTGGCCCTGTATTCTTAAAGAGGGCCAAGAAACAGCCAGGCTCCCCCAGAGGGACCTGGGTATTGTCAAACCCCTCCCCTGACTGGCCCCAGCCAGAACTGTGTGTGGCAGGTGGGCACCCTGCTTGGTGGGGCTGTGTCAGGTCCACGTCCAGCCAGAACCTCATCCCTATGCCAGGGCTTCTTCTCTGGACCCTCTGGACCTGCCCCCACCCCCACCCCCTTCTTAGTGCACTTCCCAATAGTGGAGGCTGCTGCCCACGTTGCTTCTGGAGAAGTTAATGTCAAGCGGCTGGAACATTTCTGATGGATGAAGGCGTGGGTGACCACGCCCTGGAGGAGGAGAAGTGAGAATGGAAGCTCCCCCCGCCCCACCCCCAGCCTGGCCCCTTCTCCTGGGGAGCCCACTAGTCCTTCCTGACTCACGGGTTCTAGTTGAGTTTCATTTGCACACCTTCCAGCACTGGGGCTCGGGGTTCTCTGCGGAAACTGGAGGACACCCAGATCCGCCCCTTTGGATCCAGCCTGTGGGGCTTCTGATTCTCAGAAGATGAGCCCCTGGCCCAGAGCATCCCCTTGTGAGAATGCTGGAAGGGACCCGAGGACAGAGGTCCCTGCAGAGAGGGGTCCTAGGGGAAAAGGAGGCAGAGAGCAGACACCTGGGTGATACAAGAACCAGAGACATACCTGCGTTTATCAAGCGCCTACTGTGTGCCGAGCAGCACCAACCAAGTGGGGCCTATCCAGTAGGTGCTGGTGAGAGCTTCACGCCATGGGTCCTCCTGATAGGCCCATGTCACAGAGGAGGAAACTGAGGCCCTGAGCAGTACAGAGGTCTCCGGGTCAGGGAGCAGAGGACCCATATAGGCACTCTCCCAGCCCCGGGAGAGGGAGAAGGGGACTGGATTGGATGAAGGAGTCTGAGACCCCAGGAAGCTGTTGGTGGTGGCACGGTGGGGAGAGGGGTGGGAGTGGAGGGACTTTCCATAGCCTGTTCCCACAGCTTCCGGGATGATTTAGCCCTGTCCCTGTGAGGCGTCTCTACCTGATGCAGGCTAGACTGGGGGTGATGTGGCACCTCTGGGTGCCAGCTGGTAGGTGGGAAAGGCTTTGATGGTGCACCAGGCCCTGGCCCTGGCCACCTCCTGCTGGGCCCTGCAGGTGCCCCAACTTCTCACTCCTCCACAGCAGCACCCGCGGGGGGCTCTGACCTATGGATTTTCTGCCACTTCCTGCTCCTCTTCACTCCAGCTGGAGACTCGAGGACTTCATTATACCAGCAGCCTGGGCGACCCCAGCATGGAGGGCAGGGAGAGCTGGTGGGACACACGGGCCTTCTGGAGGTGCCCCCAGGCCCCTGCCCTGCTCCTGGAGTTCATCCTCCTCGGGACACGGGGCTCCTTGAAAGCACACTCCCCTGGGGCTCATCCACTTCGGGGCGGGGGTACAGAGCCAGCTCGGAGTGTAACTGTTCGGGCTGCTGTTTGGTCTGGGCCATACTAGGCTGTGCTCAGGGCTTGCTCCTGGCTCTGTGCTCAGGGTTCACTCCTGGCAGGGCTCACTTTCTCCTGTACCATCTCTCTGACCCTGCGTTTAGAGGCAGTCCCACCCCATGCGTTGCTGGGAGGGGTTTGCCCAGGGAAAGGTCTTACCCCCCGCACCGAGGTCACAGAGCAAGTGGGTGAGAGCTGAGAACCAAATTGAGGGCGTTCAGGGGGGCACAGGGATCCATCTGCTCTAGCAGGAAACTGCAACTGTCTTCCCAGCGGCTCCCCACCCCGAGACCCTTGCACGGCCTCCACCTGCCTCCCGGCCCATGCTCTCCGTTTTCCTTGCTAATTAGAGGTCTCAGCAATGACTCCACCGTCCCAGCCATTTTAGAGCTGTCATTAATTTCAAGTGCCTTCAGAAATAATCATCGTGGTAAAACCTCACACTGCTGGGATGCAGGTGGGCAGGCAGGTGAGGCTGTGTGCCACCCTCCCTTGCCCCCACCCACCCCAGGGACCCACTGCCTCTTAGAGTGGGGGGAGAGGGGAGCCAGAGGCATCAGACACACACAGGTGGGACTTCAGAGCCCAGAGCTGCCTCCTGTGGGTTCTGAAGCTCCCTGTGTGACGATGCTAGGCAAGGTAACAGCCGTCCAGGGCCTCCGTTTTCCCATCTGTGCAATGGGGGCATCTTTAGCCCCTGCAGGCGAGATGAAGCGAGTAAGCGGGGCGCAGAGACCAGCTGACAGCGGGCCCAGTATGGCTCAGAGACCCGCACCCTCCTCCAGCCCCCCCCCCCCCGCAAACCCATGCCAACTTCTCCACCTCCTTCCCATTCACTGGGACCCGCAGATTTGTCATCCCGGAGCCAGGCTCCCGCGCCTACGGTCGAGACACGCAGCCTGAGCACAGACAGGGGCGGGGACCACGCCACGAAGGCCGGTTCCGTCGAGGGGGGAGGGAGAAGCGAGAGCGGAGTAGGAGTGGGTCCACTCTCGCAAGTTGGGTCCTGCCAAACCGTGGCAGCCAGGAAAGGGGCAAGCCGAGCAGGAGACTGAGGCTCGGAGGCGTCGCTGGGGGGACCTGGAACAGGGGGCAGCGGGCTCGCCCCCATTTCCCCGGCGAGACCACTGAGGCCGGGAGCAGGTGAGTCGGGGGCGGAGGCGCGGCGCCTGCGTCAGTCTCCGCACCAGGAATAGCCCCCGCCCCCGCCCCCGCCCCGCCGCGGGTCTGCGCGCCCGCCGGGCGCCTGGCGGAGCCTCCACGCAGGAGCGCGAGCGTCTATTCCTGTCGCGCTGGTGGGAGGCGGCAGCGCGGGGGGCGGGAGCGCACGCGGACTCGCAGCGGCGGGGCTGGGGGAGCGGCTGCGGCCGGGGGTCCAGGGCCGCGCCGCCCCGCGCCCCCACCCACCGGCGTTCCCCGCGCCACGCCTGGGCCCCCGGCGGGGTTACTCACGCTCCGGGCGCCCCTGCCGGCTTTATTAGCCCGGGCACCGCGGCCAGGCGCTCGCCCTCCCGCAGCTCGGGCTTCCTCCTCGGGGCACCGGGGCCGCCGGCGCCCAGCAGCCGCCCGGGCGAGGCGCGCCCAGGATGACGATGGACAGAGGCAGCGAGGACCAGAGCCGATTCTCCAGGTAGGGCGGCCCAGAGCGCGCCCGAGGGCGCCACGCACGAGCACCCTTGCTCCGCGTGGCCCCGCAGCGGAGGGTCCGGCCACTGCTGGCGCGCCGTGCGCGTGGGGCTGCACAGTGGACAGCAGAGTTGAGCGGTGGGTGGTGGGGGTCCGCTCGTGTTCCCGGGGGTCTAGCCGTGAAAGCCGGGCAGGCCCGCGGGATCTGGGGCTGTCGCAGACTCTTGAGACCTTGAGCTGGTGTTGGTTTTTTTTTTTTGAGCAGCTCCCCTAGCCCCCAGATGCCCTCTCTCCTGCCCCAGCCCCCCATGCTGCGCTGGGCCCGGGAGCAGGGACGCAGCCACTTGGCAGCCGCGGTGCGAGGGCCGGCCCGCTCCGTGCCCTGGGCATTGAGGTTTCTGGAATCTAGCTTAGGGGCACAGGCCGCCGCTCGCGCCTCCCCGGGTCTGGCCGTCCAGGGAGAGAAGGAGCGGGGCGGAGAGGCCCGGACTGACCCCGAGTGCGTGGCCTCGGCCCGGGGTCCCCTGCAGCGCCGGGGAGCCGGGCGGGAACCGGCTCCGATCGAGGCTCTGCGCTGCCCTCTGCCGAGCGCCGGCCGCAGCGCGGGCGGCCAGGGCGGGCGCAGGGCCCGGCTGCCCTCTGCTGGACGGGAAGCCGGGCTGGGCGGGGGCCGGGCTGCAAAGCCAGGCGCAAGACCTTGCTGGGGGTGTCCAGCCGCGGGGCTAGCGGCTCTGTCCTCTCTGTCCCCCCGGAGCTTCCCTCTCTTTCCCTACCTCCAGGACATCAGGAGGCCTCCCAACGGGATTCCCGGACGAGGCGCGGGGCGGGGGTCGCTAGCCTGACCCGTCCACGCTGCCCTCCAAACAACCCTGGCCGGGCCGATGGGGCCCTGGCCGTTCGCGTGCGTGTGTCCGTCGACGCGGCAGTGTGCAGTGACCCCTCCTCCCATTCCGTTCTCCCCGCGCGCATACGTGTGCGCGTATTCACATGCATGTGGCCACACGCGAGGCTGCGCGCACACTCCTAGGGGGGACCGCGGGCTGGACTCCCCGAGGCCACACCGCCCGGGACTCGCCGGGCACGACCCCCGACCCCCGCTCCGGACTCGGAGGGGTGCGGCCGTGCGCTGGACTGGACCCCCGGCGCCCTCCGGGTCTGTGTGGCCGCCTGCCGCGGCTCCGGGGTGGCGGTTGGCGCGCCCCGACCCCGGTGCGCCGAGGGGAGCCGCGTCCCCCTCCTCGCCGCCCCCACCTGGCCGGGGCGGCCGCGCCTCTCCTCCCCCGCCCCTCCTCCCTCCCGCCGCCCCTCCTCCCTCCCGCGCGCTCCGCGCCTCCCTCCCCGCGCCGCGGCAGAGCGCGGAGCCCGGGCGGGAGCCGGCGCGGGAGCCGGAGCGGGCGGCCGGCCAGGGCGCGGCGGGGCGGCGGGTCCAGATCGCGGTCCGGGGGCGCGCGGAGTGCCAGCGCCGCTCCGGCCCCTCTCCCGGCGCGGGCCGCCAACAGCATGCGCGGCCGCTGCCCGCCGGCTCCGGCCCCGGCCCCGGCCCCGCGGCGGAGCGTGCCCGGCCTCGACCCCCGCCCCAGCGGCAGAGGCGGCGGCGGCGGCCCCCGGCCGGCCCGGGGCGCACAGCCAGGCTCGCGGGGTCCGCGCCGCGCGTCCTGAGCGCGCCCGGCGCGGCCGGCCGCGGCTCCCGCCTCCCCCGCCGGCCGCTGCCCGGCGCCGGCCCGCGCGCGCGGGGCTCACGGACGGCCGGCGGCCCCGCGAGGGCGCGGACGGGCGGCGGAGGTGGGCACGGAGGGGGCTGGGCCGGGGCCGAGGCCGCGGGGAGACATGCGATGGGCGGCCGGGGCGAGCGGACGGACGGCGCGCCCGAGATGCAGGTGAGCCCCGCGGCCGCGGCCCACCCGGAGCCCCCGGGCCCTCTCCCCTTAGGGGGTCAGAGGCCCGAGCCCCTCCAGCCTCGGAACCGAAGCGGCTTCCCTCCCGATTCCTCTCACCCGGCAGATTCCGGGGTGACCAGCTGCGCCCCTCGGCGCCTTGCAGGGACCCCCACCCGCTTCCCGGTCCGGCCCGTCCCCTTTCCGCCTCCCATTCTGGGCACGGGCGCCCTGTAGGAGGAGCCCCGGCCCAGCGCGGGCGGCTGCTGCGCTCGTGCCCCCCGGAGTGGCCACCACCCTCCCGCCCCAGCCCCGCGCCCCGGCCCGGTTGCGGCGCCGGGGACCAGATCCACAGGCTCCGGCCCGGGGCTCCCCTCCCCCGCCCCGCCGGGAGCTGCCCTGTCCGGCTCCTGCCCAGCGCGGGGGGAGGGAGGGAAGACTCCAGGGTGTGAGGGTGGGGAGGACCCCCGGAACCCCTAAGGGCCGCCCCTTTGTTTCCAGCACCGGCTTCGGCTTCCCACCTCCTCCTGCCCCACTTTTCATTCTGAGGCAGAACCGGTGGGAGGTGGGAGCCCGACTGGGAGACTGGGAGGCGAGGAGGGAGCCTCTGGCTCTGCCCCCCCACCCCCCAGGGAGGCTCCCGCTTCCTGTTCCCCAAGGCACCGCCCGCCCCCAGCAGTGTCCCTCTAGGTGGCCCAGAGCCTGGAGGGGTGTGGCGGGTGGGGGCAGCCCTTGTGGGTCCCCTTCAGCTCTTGGTGCTGGGCCAGCAGAGTCTCTTCTTTGTTCTCCAGGTTCTGGGGTCGGGCAGGGGTGGAGGGTGGAGGGATAGTACATGAGTTGTGGGTTAAGCACCATCTGGGCAAGCCCCTTCCCTGCCAGTACCGCCCTCCCTCAATTCCCTGCCTTGTTGGGGCAGCCTGCGGGGGTGTGCCCCCCACCCCCCACTCACTCAGATCAGCCCTGCCCATCACTGCCCAGCACCCCTGCGGGCATTGCCTCCTGTGCCCCAAGCAGTGGCCAAGACACCCAACCCTCTTCCCTTCCCTTCCTTCCCTTCCGCAGGCATCCCGAGCCCCCTCACTCCCACCGAGGCACGTTGGAGGGAAGAGGGGCCAATGGCTCCCAGGCCCTTTGTCCTTATGGGGGCTGGGGTTCAGCCCTCACCCCTCACTAACAGGAATGAGGGTCTGAAGCTGGGGCTGTTGATCTGTTGCCCCCAGTCCCAGCTTCCCTGCTTCTTGCCGGCAGCCGGAGAGAGAGGGGAGGGTCCTTGGGAACTCAGACAGAGGCACCCACTGTCTGTCCTGGAGAGGGGCTGCTTCACGGGGGTTCTGTACCCCCCTCAGAGCACCTCTTCTCTGAATGCCCTCCGACCAATTCAAGTATGAATTGGGCTTTGGGCAGGAGTCTCAGTACCTGTACCAGAGCGGGTCCCAAATCCAGGCAGCCAGTTTTGTGGGGAGCAGGGCAGGTGTGGGCTTATGCCAGGTACTGTGTGAATGAGGGGCGGGGGAGCCCTTCTTGGGAAGGAAAGTGGCCAGCCCCTCCGTCCCAGCCTCTGATCCCATCTGGACATAGCTACCTGCTACTCAGAAGTCCAGTGCTGAGAGACACCCCCCCCCCCCCCAATGGTGAGCAAGGGCGGTGGTTGAGCATAAAGCCAGATGGACGCCCAGTTCCAGGGACAGCACATCAAGTGGGCACCCTGAAGGGGGGGTGCCCAGTATTCTGGAGGATGGTGCCAAGGGACTGGGCATAGGAGCAGGGTCAGGTCTTTCGGAGGCAAGGTGGAATGCCAGGTAGGGGGCTGAGGGGGTCAGCAGGGCTTCGGAGGGGCCAAGGAGCTCCGAGGCAGGTGGGGACTATGTGAGTCTGGACCTGGTTTGCTGGCTGGGGTGCCTTCGTCCATCGCTCCTTTTCTCTCTGTAAAAGGATGGTAGCCCAGCCCAGCCCCCTGCATGGTTTCCCACTGCTGCTCTCTGTTATATTCCTACGTGCCCCTCTGTGAAACCCGCTCCCATTCCCTGGCTTGGTCCCCACCCATATCCGATGTCTCTTCACAGCCCCTCCTCCAGGAAGCCTCCCTGACAGCCCCCAGGCCAAACCTCCTCCTGGTCCCACAACAGAGAAACACACCAGTTTGCTCCTAACATTGGACCTTGCTATTCACTGAAGTGCCGCCTGATTGGCTCCAGGCGAGGCCCTCCCAGAGCTTTCTCATTCACCCCTGCCTGGTCCTGGGCTCAGGGGCTAACCTGGAGGCAGGAAGGGCGGCTGCTGGCCAGGTATCCCTGGAGGGGTCGTTCCTCAGAATACAGAGGCCAGGCCAGGGCGCACGTTGCACACGCAGGTGGTGGTGTGTTCTTTGGGGTGAGTGGTCCATATCCAACAGCAAGAGTGAGCCTTTGAGGTGGATCTAGAGGAAGGGTCAGCATGGATACGGAAAGACCCAGAATGGCATTCCAGAGACGGGGTGTGGATGGGCACGTGCTTTTCCGAGGGCGTCATTTAAGGACTCTTGCCGCCAATATTGTGGATGACGTTGAGTGAATCTATGGCCCAGTGGTAGGTTCCTCTGTGAGCTCCGCCTTATTGTGTGTATGTTAACCGACTGGTACAGAGTAGGTGCTCAGGAAATGCTCGCTGCCCACGAGTGCTAGCCGGCATATTCAGGCTGGCCATGAAAGGCGGCACAGAGACTGCATTTTATAGCTAAGAAAACCAAGAGCTAGAGAGGTGGCATGCCTCGCCCACGTCCCCCGGCATACAGGCCCGGGGCTGGGTCTGTGCTACCTTCTTGGCCTGGGACTCTTGCTTTCTGCTCCTGGCCTGTCAATGAAAAAAATTCACGCGTTTACTATTGATCACTAGATTATGAGCACTGTCATCTGAGCACTAGCACTAGGTCTAAGAACAATGTATGTCTTTCCCTAAAAGCTTTTCCTCACCCCTTTCCCTTGACATCTTTCTCTGAGACAACCACCACCCTGAACCATCTATTTCCCATCCTCTTTCCTTCTTTAAAAAATGAAATATTTTAGGGCCTGGAGTAATTGTATAGCGAGTGGAATATTTGCTTTGCATGCTACTGACCTGGGTTCAATCCCCAGCATCCCATATGGTCCTGAGCACTGCCAGAAGTCATTCTTGAGTGCAGAGCCAGGAGTAAGTCCTGGGCATCACTAGGAGTGACCCAAAATCCAAAAAGTCTCAATATGTCTGCTGTGGTTTAGCTTATTGTTTTGAATGCAAATAGAATGACAATGTTCTTTATAAACACACACGAAGCCGTAGGCAGTTCTTATGAATGTGGTATTTCCCGCTTCAGCATCATTCTCAAGCTTCATTCTCTACTGTTGTCATAGTAGATATAGTTCATTTATTTCCACCGATGCATCTTGTTCTGTTGCCTGAACATCGGAGAGTGGCTGCCTGCTTTTCGGTTCCGACGTGCGTGGGCCCGCTCCCTCCCGTCTCGTACAAGAAGCCCTGCCCCCTGAGCCTCCCGGCTCTGTCTCTCCTGGGACAGTGTCCCAAGTATCTCCGGGCACACCACTGGCAGCAGAAGTGTTGGGCTGTGAGACCTGTTTCTGTCCAGGAAAGGTGCCTGGACAGTGTTTTCCAGATGGACTAGTTTATGTGGTCCCTGCAAGGTGAATGTGCCTATCACTCCCACCCTTGTCTTCTTTTCATATTGTCAAAAAAAGTTTTGTTTGCTTAATTTTTTTTTGCTGATCGGGTGTGTGAAATAGTTTGGCCTTGATTTGTGATTCTGGATTTCAGGGTTTCTGATGTTTTCAGTTGAGCTTGAGATAGGCAGCAGTCGGTGGCTAACAAGCTCACTAAGGGGTCTTTCCTCTGTACCTCAGTTTCCCCAGTTGTGGGCCCTGAGCTCAGAGATGGGCAAGAGCAGTTGGTAAGGACTCATCTAAGAGGTAGAATTGAAAGAGGAGCAAGGGGACCACGAGGCCTTGCACAGCTGGAGCTGAAGGAACCCCAGGGGCTCTGTTGGCCCCCAGGTTGGGAAGGGGTGGCCCCAGATTGGGAGGTGGGGAGAGTCTTTGCGTCCTTGTTTTCATAATACACAGACCCCTGGAAAGCTCGTTTTCTGTTATTTTTTGGTTGGGGGCCGTGCCCAGCAGTGCTCAGGGCTAACTCCTGACTCTGAGCTCAGGAATCACTCCTGGGGGGCGCGGGAGACCATATGGGGTCCCAGTGATCAAACCTGGGTCGGCCACGTGCAAGGCAAGCATCCTGCCCATCATGCCATGTTTCCCGCCGTGAGAACCCCATCTCTAAACCCTGGCACCCGGCTCAAGGCTGGGCACCGATGAGTACTGTTAAAAGAGCCGGGGACTCAACACTGGAGGAAGGAAACCGATGTTTGTTCTTCGTTCATTTCCACCTCACTGGGGCCAGGGGGCTAGCGGAATAATTACTGCTGTTCCGTGAGCCCTCCAACTTCTGCCCACATGGTGAGTGAAGAGTCGCTGGGCAAGGTGGCAATACAAGCCGTTTCCATGCGTTGTCCCGCCCACGCAAAACTCCCATGCACAATCTCCTGCCACACAAGGCTCCTCCCATGCGCAAGCCCCTCCCACACAAGGCCCCTCCCATGCGCGAGCCCCTCCCACACAAGGCCCCTCCCATGCGCGAGCCCCTCCCACACAAGGCCCCTCCCATGCGCGAGCCCCTCCCACACAAGGCCCCTCCCATGCGCGAGCCCCTCCCACACAAGGCCCCTCCCATGCGCGAGCCCCTCCCACACAAGGCCCCTCCCATGCGCGAGCCCCTCCCACACAAGGCCCCTCCCATGCGCGAGCCCCTCCCACACAAGGCCCCTCCCATGCGCGAGCCCCTCCCACACAAGGCCCCTCCCATGCGCGAGCCCCTCCCACACAAGGCCCCTCCCATGCGCGAGCCCCTCCCACACAAGGCCCCTCCCATGCGCGAGCCCCTCCCACACAAGGCCCCTCCCATGCGCGAGCCCCTCCCACACAAGG